ATTGATTATCTAAATAATTATCCCACACGTCTCATTCGAGAACCAGGGACTAAGAAATGGGGTTTTGCACCTATAAAGGTTATCATGTTAGAAAAAGTAGAATCGAGACCATCCACAAAATATAAGCGCCCAGTTGGAAAAGATGAAATAACATTAACAAAAGGTGATACTGTTCGATATCTTCTTGCTATTGCAGAATGGGAAGGAGGAATGGAGAATCAAAAGAGGGCCACCGATTCCACATACTCGCCTTCTATTCATAAAATCCAGAAAATTGTAGTAATAAAGAATAAGCCAGTTTTATATTATTTTGGAAGTGATGATGATAAATTTGCACCATCTCACGGATTTGTGCGAGAAGAGCTCATATTAATAGCTAATCCAGAAAAGATTGGGTATCCACCTCAAAGTATATTATCCATAAATTTCGTTCATGCTCCTCCTATCAATAGTGAGATAAACCAAGCCATTGGTTATGCTCAAAGACGTGGTAGTTGATGTCTAGGAAAGACTGGAGAAATAAATGGATATAATGTATATCTTTGGTCTTGTGAGGATTGTGCACATCAATGGAAGTATCCATTAAAGTATATCATGAAAAATTTGAGTGGTGCCTTCTTTGTCATCATACTAGCAAAAGAACTGTACAATATATTTTCAAGGATCTACTAGACAAGAAATTTCCATCACGCAGGCCGAATTTTTTGGATGGAATGCAACTCGATGGATATAACGAAGAACTACAACTAGCATTTGAATTCCATGGTCGGCAACACTATAGTCTAAATTTAATGTTTCATAGAAGAGGCCAGATAGATTTGGATGAACAGAGAATGCGTAATCAGAAGAAGCAGGATATATACAAGAAGCAAGGTATATGTCTTATCGAAGTTCCTTATACAGCTGATCTCCTGTCCTATATCAGACATACTTTAATCGAAAAAGGGTTCTTGAAAGAGGCGAAGAATTAAAAGGAATTATTTGAGGCTAAGAAATTCATTTTGATATAATATGTAATACTGTATAGAACTCTTTGTATATAATGTTGATAAGATCCCCAGAAAATCTTTGGAGCGAATGAAAGACAATAAATATAGTCCAGATTGGCCTTTTTGTCTTCTAGTTACTGGAGGCTCACATAGTGGAAAAACTAATATGGTTATAAACCTTATTCTAGGCAACAAATTTCAGCGCATGTTAAAAGGAAAGAAGGGGAATAGATATATTAAAAATGATGACCTCGTATTAGTTGGAAAACATGCCGAGTCTAAATGGGAGCTGGTTAAAAATGCTATTCATATTTTTGCGAATAGCTCTAAATCATATCGGGAGAATATCTCATTTCAAACAATAAAGGCGGAAAAGATCCCAGATATAAGTAAATTCTTCCCAAAAAGAAGTACTATTGTTGTTTTCGAAGATCTCTGTGCTGAATTGAAAAACATTCAAGAACGTATCGTCTCTTATTTTATTAGTGATCGGCATCAAAATATCTCACTAATATACGTAACCCAGAAATATCAAGTTGTGCCTAAGATAATTCGTGAAAATATCTTATGTCTAATCATGTTCTGAGGGAGTGGTAGCCGGGATGATATCCAAAAAATCATGCGTCAATATACGGATAATCCAAAAAAAGCATCCAAGATTATTGATAAACATTTGCGAGATCAGAATTTTGTGGTCTTCGATTTTACTAAGGCAACTGATGATCCATTAGTGATTAGACTCAGTTGGGATACTCCTTTAAAACTGGATGAGTAGAAATTCTTTCGGCTTAACGCTACCTCAAAGGAATTGATGAAGTGAGACGAAATGTATATTTTTTCTGGACTCCTGGGTCATATTCAGATTCACTACGCCTCTTCGTCTATAATTTCCTTTCATAAGTGCTGAAATATATTTCCGGTTCTATAGTTATATCACTATATTTTGTGTAGGAAGAGATCTGATCAATCAGAGCAATAATTTTTCTATCTTTAGCAGAAATAATATCCTTCAGATATAAGCATTTGTCATCTAGCATGTCAATAGACTTTTCAGCTGATGTAATAGCTTTTTTTGTATTAGGAATTATACTTTTAAAGAAAGCTACTGAATCTGATAATTGGGTAACTTTCCTACCACTCTCCTCCAAAGACCTGGTTATAGCTACCTCACGAGACTTATATTGCTCTTACAAGTCAAGAAGCTCTTCAATCTTTTTTTCTAATACCTGCTTTGATATACACAACTCCTCATTTTCTTTCTTAACAAATTTTCACAGTTGTTGGTAATAGGCTTCATTCTCTGATGCTCTTTTTTTTTAATATATTTTCAATTGCCTGATTTAACATATCTTCCACTTCAGGGTGAATACTACTTGCCTGTTCCAGCGATAATAGATATTTTCGAGATATAAGGCGTCACCATATATCTATTTTAATAGATTGAGGAAGTTGGTTAAGTTGCTTCAAGTAATATATGTGAAAAGATGGTGTTAGTATGCTAGTCATTATTACCATATGAAACATAAAAAATTCTGAGAATTAAAGAATTCTGTGTATTCGGGAAAGGAAATTCAAAGAATAAATTCACGCGTCAGTTTCATGACATATCTGGCAGATCGGCTAGAAATATTAGCTCCGATCAAGAATTTCACGTGACATCCTGACCATTGGTCAGCAAAAAAAATCATGTGATTTTGACCGGGACGCCCCAGCTGAAAATTGCCAAGAAAATTTTATTATTGCCTGAGATATATACCATACATGAATATATTTGCGAAATTGACCATCAGGATCACTTTATTGATACATAATAAAAATACATAATGCTCAGGATATATTCGAAAAAATAAATCTAATTATTCTTAATCAGAAGATACTGTAGAGCTTTTTCGCTTAAGTCGTTCTGATCTAGCTTCTGGTGCATTTAACAATAAAGAAATGT